GGGAGAGAGGGGTGGGGGGGGGGGGGGCGGGGAGAGAGAGAGATTGCAGTTGAGAAGCCGCGTTTGTAGACCAGCAGGTGGGGAGAGGGGGTGGGTTCTTGGGTGGGTGCCGCTGGCCTACAGGGCCTGCTGTTCAGCCTCCGCGAGGCGCCCTGACAGACAAGATGCCTCCAGGCACCGCCAGATGTCACGGGGCACAGCTGTCCCCGCGGAGAACCACTGGCTTAGACCCCCGTGGTCCTTGGTCACCCCACACGCTTCTTTCTTTCCCTTATCTGGACCTAATAATCAAGGGATGTCAGGCGTCAGTGTGTGTGTCTCTCTCTCTCTCTCTCACACACACACACACACACTTCAAATGAGACACCAGCGTTCCAACAGGTCCCTCATTTGCCTGAGCCCCACGGCGTGGAACTCGGGCCTCAGGATTCACCACCCACAGGACGCAGAGGACTTAATCCCACGCAGAGGCGCCCTCCCAGCAGTGCAACGTGCACACAGCAGCGTGGATCCTCCACTGGCCGAGGGCTGCCGCCTGTGGTTGGGTGAGGGTGAGGGTGAGGGTGAGGGTGAGGGCGCTGTGCAAGGGGCTGGCTGGAGCCCAGAAGGGCTCCCCTCCCTCAGGTGTGCCGATTGGGCTGCGAGCATCCGGGGAAGGAGCATCCTTTTCAGGCTCAGGCAAGGGTGCCATCTACCTGCCCCACCATAGCCCTGGGGGAGCCGCTGGGGAGCCGCATGGGGCGGGGCAAATGCCCCACCTGTAGGGAGGCTCCGGAAGGGCAGCAGTGCCTGCTCAGTCCCCCTGCTGTGCCCCGCCCCCCTGGCTCCATGCACACACATTCCCCCTCTGCTGACAGCATCCCTCCACTGCACATCGGTGCACACACTCAGGGGACACAGCTCCAGGCCACTGACAACTCTGGGGGGGGAGCGGGGAGCAGCGACACAGCCCCTCAAACCCAGACACCCCCCTCCACACACGCACACACAGCCTCACGCCTCCCAATGTGAGGCAGGGCAGCATCTACTGGTGAGAAGGGGACACGCACCCAGGGGCAGACTGAGTGGCCCATCAGACCCAGGATACAGGGGACCGAGTCTGTCCCTTAGCTCTTACAACAGAACTCACACACACAGCGTCCCAGACACAACATGCAAGGACACCCGTGGCATCCTGAGGGCCCACCCGCAG